AAAGTCAAGTATGTACCCACTCGTATATTGACAGCGTCAAGCAAAGTAGGGTATTGGTATTCTACTGCCTTCCGCGCAGCGTATTAGAGTATTTGGTACCTTTGGGTAAACAAACCTCCTTTTCTATCGACTTCAAAACGGAGAAGGTACTCAATTCAACTGTGTTTTTTTAAATGTGTGTTATCTCATAACTTTTTTCTTTGTGAACCGATTTCGATGATTCTTTTTTTATTTGAAAGCTGGTGCTTTTCATGTGATCCCATATAAATTTGATCAAGATTTGACCAATAGTTTTTTGAGTTATCTTTAATAATTCATATTGAAGTCGGTTGTATAAAAATTTTAATTTTAATTTGAAAGCTGGTGCTTCTCATGTGATCCCATATAAATTTGATCAAGATTTGACCAATAGTTTTCGAGTTATCTTTAATAGTTCATATTGAAGTCGGTTGTATAAAAATTTTAATTTTAAATTATTTTCATTAGTAAATGCCACTTTTATCACGCATAGAAACTTCTAGCTTCTATAGCTTGCTTACCGACTGCGATAAAATTAGGATATCTGCAGTGGAACCAAACTAGACGACATAACAGTAGGAATCAGTAAACTGAAGTGTTAATTGGTCAGCCATTTAGCTCGAAAGACCAACAACTGAAGCAAACCTGGGCGGTCTCACATTAGATGGAGTGGCAACTTGGTGAGAGTTGTATGTAGTCGATGGATGGAGGTGGCTCAGTACCTTGCTTTGTGACATGCTTTAGGGGAGGTTTATGTTCAACAGTGGACTTGCAATTGGTTGTAATAATGATGACCATGAAATGCCGATTCTGATCAGCTCGCAGGACAAGCGGTTGTTGCAGACTTACTTGACTTACACTCTGTGATGGCGTATTTTACTAAGCCCACGGGAACGATCATACCTTTGCAGTCTCATCAGTGATAGTTGTCCTATAAATAATCGTTTGAGAATCAAGTTTAAATATCGTCTTCGGAGACACTTTACTCCGGCATTTGATCCTCTTCGAAGACTTTATAATGCACAGGATAGAGATAGGCAGGATAATTACGATAATTATAGAATACTGTGTATAAATTTTCTCACTGAACTGAGAATTTAGTTAATTCGAAATATTAATAGATCAAGGCGTTACTTTACGGAAATCAATTATATTAAAGTTGTTAAAAATGAACGAGCTAAAATCTGCGCAATAAAAATAAACTTCAAACTAGGTAAGACACATCATTTTATTTTATTATACGGATCTTAATTTTAGCATGTTTCTTTTTTTTCTTTTTATTAATAACGTTACCCCCACACTAGGATTTTCTCCTGTGTCGTGGAGGCAGTTTACAAACATAAATTGCACAAGGACAAACATCCAGACCCGGAACAATTATTTGTAGGCCATAAAAATACTTGTTCCGTGCGGGATTCGAACCCGCGGCCCCAAGCGCAACAACTGATTGCTAAGCCACTGCGCCACGGAGCTGTCAAATTTAATGAACTAGCGATCCGGTCCGGCTTCGCACCGCTGATTTCTGGAATTAGAAAACAGCGTCACCTACCGGGTCCAATTGTGAATCTAAACCATTCTCTAATCAACTTAATCACACGCACAAAATTTCGTCGAAAATTGGTCCAGCTCTTTAGGAGGAGTTCTCTCGCATACACACGGACAGAAGTAAGAAGTAAGTAAGTAATATATAAAATGCATGTATTATACATATAAACCTTCCTCTTGAATTTTGAGTATCATTATGTCAATTGATGAAAACCTCATTAAAATCTGTTGCATAGTTTAAAAGATCTAAGCGTACAGACGGTGCGGCGGGAAGCGCCTTTGTTTTATACTATGTAGAGATTCGAATTATTATTATTAGGCAAATCTTGAAGTCGTTTTTTCCGCAAAGTTACATGGAGCGTACATAAAAAATATTCTATCCAATACAACGTAAGCTACAATCTAGCTCACACCTTGTTATAAATGTATTGGGTAACATTATTTCTTACGGTAACTTAAATTACATGTTACTAACAAAAGTTGGAAAATCGAATGATGTCCAAATGTTTGCTACAGTGGTAGACTAAACTCATATAAATTTCAAAAGTGTGTCACGAAATTACAAACTACACAAACGGTACTGGCCGAATTAGATACTGAGAAGCCAGCTGCCACATTTCGTTGATGAATTAATAAAGTAAATGAAGGTGCCTCGAACAGTCATCAGTTGGAAAGAAACGTATGAATTTTTGAGTTTTCACCTCGATGGGCAGATGGCGTGCGGCTGACCCGAATATTGGTTGTTCCTTATACAACGTCATTTAGCGTTAATTAAGACTTTTATTATTTAAGACAATTCCAATGCTTTTAACAAACAACGTCTTTTCTTGAAGGGTAGTACCGAAGCAAGTAAGATTGAAATATTAATGGCATTGAAATCAAAAACTAGTTTCTAATTCTGTAATCTCACCTTCAATTCGTCATTGCGGTATATTGGAAATGATTTTTTTATAAAATTTAATTGATAAATGATCTAATAACCATACTGCAATCTGCACCTGCAACCATTTTTATACAAGAAATCTACAGTCTGTTGGCTCTCTCAGCCAATATGCTGTGCATGAAATTGTTCTGGTTTAGGAGGCCACGGGTCATCGATTGCAGTAGTGAACATGGCATTAAAGTTGATTACAATTGCATTTATCATTCTTTTTTTAAATACATAGTAATATAGGAAACTAGTTTTTGGAAAAAACCGTTACAGTCACCTACGGACAGATAAATATATGTGGCTCAGTGATATAATATTTTGTTTACCCTCTTTCTGTTGAAAATAGCTTATAATACACAGACAACTGATATAATTAAAAAAAAATTACAACCACCTTCAATATACATTACCTTCTACTTTTTTGAAGTTGGTTGAATAATCAAAGAACTTGCTGCATCGTATCTAACTAGTATAATTATAAGTTCTGTTAGACAATATGATGCATAGATGCATATTATCATTTTAAAACATACAGTTAAATAATAATGAATAAGATAAAATAAACTTAATTTTATTTACCTATCATAGTGCAACACGGGCCACCGCTCGGTCTGCCGCGCCGCGCCACGCCGGTGGCTCTATTGCTATGCTCTATTTAAATATTCATGAAAGTCTAACCGATTTATTAAAAACAATTTTTCTCAAAGATGCCGCTTTTGGCCATGATCTGTGGATTTTATATAATTTTTTTAAGGCTTAACTTTGTAGAATTTGCAGCACTTTCAGCACGATTCAATTCTGCCGAAGCATGCTCAATTTTCGACTCACGCACACATCTTTCTTCTTCCTTTCTTTATCAGCTCATAAAAGTTTATTGGAACTGAGATGTTGTCCTTCACTGCTGGCCGTATGAGGAAGCTCAAGGTCGCTCAGCAAGCTATGGAGGGGGCTATGCTCGGGGTTTCTCTGCGTGATAAACTTAGAAATGAGGATATCCGCAGTAGAACCAGATTAACCAACATAGCCCAACGGTAGTAAGCTAAAGTGGCAATGGGCCGGCCATATAGCTCGAAGAGCCGACAACCGATGGGGAAAAAAGGTTCTCGAGTGGCAACCTCGTACCTCGTATAAGTGTAGGGCGATTCCCCACTAGACGACCTGGTAAGACATGCAGGAAGTCGATGGATGCAGGTGGCTCAGGACCATGCTTTGTGGCATTCCTTGGGGGAGGCCTATGTTCAGCAGTGAATTTGTGAAGGGCTGTAATGATGATGATGATGATGAAAAGTTCACTGCTGAGAGCAGACATATGCTTTTAAAACCATGTTGTTAGATACAAATTATTTTAGATGCATTAGTGTCCGTGAGTGCGTGTTTATACATTAAGTTGAGTATGGTGTTGGCTTGGTTTTTACGTTACTTAAAATGTACGCAGCGTTTCGTCTCCCTTTCTTTGTTGGTTTAAGTTAGTAACATAATTAATTTTTAGTAACTCTAAAGTAAATTCTTATACAGTAGTAAAATATACATTACTCACATACATGTATACATACATATTGCGTAACATTTAGAACAATTGTGGTGAGAGTACTACTGAGCTTCGTTTACGAGTACTGAGTTCAAATTTCTGTAGCTAATCTTCCTCATCCACAAGTAAATAAGCCTCTGTTGGATGTGGGTCTCTCCCATAATATAAATTTTTAACCGAAAAGTCACGTTTGGTATGCGGATTGGCGTGCCAAACTCGTGAGAGCCTGCTCCCCGTCGCCAAGAGGGGATATGGTATAACTGCCTCGGATTTTCTAGGTGGTAGAGCTACACTGCAGCTATACCATGGTTGTAGCACGAATGGGCTAGCTTGACCGGGTTAGGGCCAGGCTCTCACAGAATAAAATAGCAGCTTGATGTTGCTGCGTTTCGTATAGTGAGTGTAGAGAACCAGAGACCCTTTTTAATGGAAACGAGGCATGTCATCACAGTCCTCAGGGGTGACAAAGCATCTGCAATTCGGTTCTTAATTAAGGATAAATGTTGATGTATATGGGATTACAGCAGGGCATTTTTATAGGAAGGGTCGTTGGAAAGGGCAGAACAACGTCTGCCTGGCGAGCTAGTATACATATATATTATAAATGAAACTGATGCGTCTGCTGTAATAGAAATAACCTTTATTAGAAATAATCTATGTTTGAGCTCAGGGGTTATTTACTACTAAGACATAACCATTTGTAAAAAATTTGTCTGTCTGTCTGTCTGAACTAATCTTCGGAATGGCTGTAACGAGTGTGATGAAACTTTACAGACAGATAGAGAGCAATGAATGCTAGAAGTGATTTAGGCTACATTTTATCCGAAATATTTGTAGGATTTTTTTTCTAATATCAAAAAAATTATGATGAATTAAAAAAATCTAAATTTCGCTACATTAATAGATTCTACCTAGGCGAAGCCGGGGCGAGTCGCTAGTTATAAATAAATTGCTACATATTTCTTTTATTTTCTTTAGGTAAATGGAGAACGGAATCCAGAAGATGTGTACGAGGATTTTCGAACGGCCATCCTACAGATCCTGGGATCAGTTGAAGAACCAAATCTTAACGGTATTAGTGGCGTAGGCGCTGATGGTATACCGGGCGAAATAGTTGGCATCGAACCGGCGCCGGTGAGAAATAGAGAGAGGCATGTGAAGAGTCGAGGGGAGGTCAGGAACCCGGGGCTGGATGTGAGGAGCCGAGGGCGTGACGTGAGGGACGCGGAAGTGGTGGATGATCCGTTACCGGCCGCGGTTCCTGTTGCGATGCCCAATGGGAATATGGCGAGGATCGTGAGTCCAAAGGTTTGTCGACTTTTGTTTTATTCAGAGTATTAATAACTCGAGGCGTCGAGAATTAACCAAAAATGTGCTGACGGTTAACGCTGACCCTAATTATGCTTTTTACGTTTAACACATTTGTTGATAACACATTTTTGTGCTGACTACGGACGCTGGCCCTTTCTTAAACTGATCGTATTGAGTGTCCTCGTTTCGATATTACTACAAACCTACTTTTCTATCGACTTCAAAAAGGAGACGGTACTCAATTCGACTGTATGTTTTTTTTTTTATGTGCGATGATTATTTTTTTAGTTGTAAGCTGGTGCTTCTCATGTGATTCCATATAAATTTGGTCAAGGTCTTCAATTCAATTTAAAAAAAAATGAATATTCTTAATAAATTTTTTTGAGTTATTCTTAATAATTTATATTGAAGTTGGTTGTATAAAATTTTTAATTTCAAATTATATCTTTCAACTATATTATCGCATAACTTCTGGTATTAGGTACTGGAAAATAGAAGCTGTTAGCCTAAATAAGCCAGTATGCTAGTATGCCGAAAGACGAAATCTCTAAAGAAATTTTGATATACGGTGCAGGTCTTCTCGGAATGGAATAACACAAGATCCTATAAACTTTCCTAATCCATTAAAATTTCCCGTGTTGAGGCGGCGTATGATTATCTACTACTCCATATCATCTCGTGGGTGCCGTAAGAGGCGACACTGGAAAACTGTAACATGGAATGGGCAGCAGAACTTTCCTGACTACAGCTCAATATACGAAAAACCTGCGGTTGCCAACCCGATTGCCAAGCGTGCTATGAATGAGACCTGTTCGGCCGTGGGAATTTGATAGATTGTATTGAATTAATGAGTGAATCCATCAAAAACTGTTTATTGTTTTTGCCCTGGAATGTATGTTGAAATGTATTATTTTTGAATATAAAAAATAGTTGGCCCATGAGGGGATCGAACCCGCGACCTTCGCGTTATTAGCACGACGCTCTAACCAACTGAGCTAATGGGCCGGTTGTTATTCTCATTGTAACGATGGTACATAAGCTTTTTTTTAATAAAAGTATTAATAACAAACTGGAGCTCAATCTACTTGGTAATTGGACACTGGTCCGTAGACATCTACAATTCTCATCGATTAAGAATCGCTGCGTTGTCACGTCTGACGACTAACATGAAATGCTTCGTTACCACTAAAATTAAACTTGGGTGTCTTCAAGGCAAGAGTGAATGGGTTTTTGTTAAGTCAAGGCGCTTCACCATCTTAGGCTACATTACCACTTACCATCAGGTGGGATCGTAGATAAGCGCTGGCTTAGTAGAATATAAAAAAGAAACCTTTATTAAAAGGAAAAGCTAACTTCAAATAACTTAAAAGAATAAACTAATTTCCACATTATAGCTTCCGAAGTCGGTGCTAATATATATTGTAAAAACAGGATTTCCCGACCTTTCTTTGAACAGGGACCGCTTTGATTACTTCGTAGTTAACAGGGACCATAAGGTGAAAGAAAAAAACTGTGTTCATCGAATAATAAGTTATAATCACAACTTTTAACATAATTATATATTAAACTGAAAAGAAGCATTCTTTTATAATCAAGAATAATCTCATAAAAGTTATTTGTAATATTTGTTGAAATTTACATTTAGTGAAATTTTTAGTAGGTGGTTAGATATAATGTCAAAATTTTATTTTGTAATCGATCAGTGTTCTCGTAGGTACTTATTAACGTGACGGGCTGTGTTGCACTGCCCGCGTTTTTTTTTATAGGATAGGGTGACAAACGAACACACAGTCCACCCAATGGTATGATACATACTCGTTCCCCCACTTACATAAAAAAGAACATAGCAAATAAATATAATTTACATTACAAGTTTTTAATATTAAATTTGATTCTTTTTTTACAGGATAGGGTGACAAACGAGCACACAGTCCACCTGATGGTAAGTGGTTGCTGTGACCTATAGACATCTACATCTATCCTCGTTTGCGAATCAAAATGTAGATGCATTGTCACCCGTGAGGACTCAGATGGAATGCCTCTTTTTCAGTAAAAAGGGTCTCCGGTTCTCTACACTCATCATACGAAATACAGAAGTGTTTCACGCATGACGAAAAAATAATAAATTTGTTATTTAAAACGATTAGGTAGTAAAAATATTTAAATCTTTCGCGGACCATATTTAAGCTCTTGCGAAACACTGGTGGTCCGTGGACCACTGGTTGGGAATCACTGGCATAAAAGAATTGAAGTCCCAAATTCAGTAGCTAGAAGTCGGCTATTGATTTTTTATACAAAAAAGTAGATTAACAAATATCACAACGACAAGTAACGACTAGAATGTCATCTAAATTATTTCATTCAATACGTATTTCTTTTTTTTTAACTTACCTACAGGGATGAAATTTTACCCCTGAAGTACGAGTATCTATCTCTACATAGTATAAACAGTCACTTTCCGCCGTCTGTACGCTTAGGTCTTTTAAATTACTTCATCATCATCATCATCATCATTACAGCCCTTCACAAATCCACTGCTGAACATAGGCCTCCCCCAAAGAATGCCACAAAGCACGGTCCTGAGCCACCTGCATCCATCGACTTCCTGCATGTCTTACCAGGTCGTCACTCCATCTCGTGGGGGGACGCCCTACACTTCGCCTACCGGTACGAGGCTGCCACTCGAGAACCTTTCTTCCCCATCGGTTGTCGGTTCTTCGAGCTATATGGCCGGCCCATTGCCACTTCAGCTTACTAATCCGTTGGGCTATGTCGGTTACTCTGGTTCTACTGCGGATATCCTCATTCCTAAGTTTATCACGCAGAGAAACTCCGAGCATAGCCCTCTCCATAGTTCGCTGAGCGACCTTGAGCTTCCTCATCCGGCCAGCAGTGAAGGACCACGTCTCAGTTCCATATGTCATCACTGGCAACACGCACTGGGTGTACAGTCTCGTTTTCAAGGTTTGAGATATACCTGACGAGAAGATGTGCCGTAATTTCCCGAAAAATAATTACTTAACGGATTTTAATTCGGTTTTAATTAGTAGACAGAATGACTCAAAATCGAAAAGTAGAAAATCGGAAGTATTTCTTTTACAATTTCATTTACTCGCAGTTCGATGGGACGGTTATATTCAATACGACCGGAGAGAGATCAGGCGGAGGACCAACAGTTTCACGTGCATTCCGAGGCACGGCGGTGAAACAACATCAAGTTCCTGACCCCAGCTGCTATTGAGACTCAAGAAATGAGAGAAAAACTCCAATAACAGATGTTGCCTCGACCCGGAATTCGAACCCGGGTCTTCATGATCAGCGACCGCGTTTACGACCACTAGACCAACAAGTCAGTCAAAATAAAAAAAAATCAATGTCAATTAAAAAAAGTGGATCAGTGTTATACATATTATAGCTAACATAATTATCAAATGTCCGTTTAAAAAATGGGGTTGTTATAAACTAATTTGCTTAATTCCGCGTAAAGAAAGAAAATGATGTGTCCTGCCCAGTTTTAAGGGGACCTACCACCCTCTCTCAATCGCTAAGTCATCTTAGCGGCCAGCCTCCGCAGAGTCTACTTCACCTGAGGATGCCTCGTGTAGAGGCGAAACACGTGTCGTATTTTCTAGAGTGGTGTGTCGTGCCTAGTGTGCTGATGCTGTTGCTGGGGGTGGTAGTGCTGGGATTAACGGCGACGGGTATAGTGCACGCGATTGAGGGAGGGTGGGAGGTCCCCTTAAAACTGGGCAGGACACATCATTTTCTTTTTTTACGCGGAATTAAGCAAATTAGTTTATAACAACCCCATTATAATGGATTTCCGCAAAGTAACGCCTGATTCTATCAATTATTTGGTTTAAAAAATATCTGTCTTGCAAGTGCAAAATAATTTTAAATTATTTCCACACATAATTACCCTCAATATATTGATTTATTCTTTTATGTGTGATTCTATTATTCCGTAATATACGGCCAATATTGGCAAAGAGTCGATTTATAAAATAATAACTAATATCGATTGCCGAAACACGCGTCGTTTTCGATAACGAGCCTCAAATATTTATTATACGATGACTAGTCTGCTTGTCCCCTATGGGGTGGAGACATGTGTTTGTCAGTCTGGTGTTTGTAGAGGTCGAGTCGATCGCCTTGACCTGACTTTGTTAACTATTCACAGTAAAGACCAAAATATTTATGACCTGTGAATGACTCACTCATATTATAACACGTTGCCGCGACTTCCCTTGCGTGCAAGTTGCCTAGGTAAGGCAGATATGAAAAATCGTAGGACTTTATGCCCAATGACAACACATCTGCATTTTGATTTGTAATAGAGGATAGATGCAGATGTCTATGGGCCGCAGCAACCACTTACCATCAGGTGGACTGTGTGCTCGTTTGTCACCCTATACTATAAAAAAAAGATTTTTTCAATAATATCAAAATAAATAACAGTAATAACGGCTCAGGAGCGCAGTGGCTATCAATTGGTCGCGGGTCGCGGGTCGCGGTGTTGTAGGCTGCGGGTTCGAATCCCGCACAGGACAAGTCAAGTGTAATGGAAGCCACCTCCACGATACAGGAAATCCTACTGTGGGGATTACGTTTTTCGTTTTTTTTTTCGTTTAAACCTCCTTGTCCTTATATCTCGTCACGCTAAACAATGCCCCTCCCTCCCCCTTATTGGCGAATGTATTTCATGAACGGCCCCGTGTCTTTTTCTATTGTTGTTTAGTGGTGGAAAAAAAGTCCCGCTGGATTTATTGCTGGTTCTTCCCAGGACAGAGGTATTTTCCGAACCAGTGGTAAATAAAATAATGACTTTCAATAAGTATTATGTAATAATCCATATTGAATAAAAAAAAATGAAAAAAAAACGTTATAAATTAATCTGATGGTCGTCTAAACGATGCCAATTTAAGAATTGCTTGGACTTGCTTTTCTCTCTCTCTCTCTCTCTCTCTCTCTCTCTCTCTACTATGGAATGGAATAATTTTTTATTCAAAATTGGTTTTAAATTATTATTATTGAAAGTTATTTTTACTTTGACCACTGGTTCACAAAAAAATCCTCTGTCCTGGGCATTGGAGTAATATGTACGTAAGTACATTATACTTCAATGGGCATGGGAAGAACCAGCAAAAAACCCAGCGGGACTTTTTTCCACCATTAAACAACAATAGAAAGAGACACGGGGCCGTTCATGAAATACATTCGCCAATAAGGGGGAGGGAGGGGCATTGCTTAGCGTGACGTGATATAAGGACAAGGAGGTTTAAAGAAATGTGACGTTCACAATTCATCAATCTTATTTTTATTTATTAACTTGGCAGTTCTTAATTTTTTTTCCTTACGATTCAAAGTCATGCTCAAATGCTTAAAAGCCTGTTATTAAATATATTTATTTTGTAGCTTAGCGTGACGAAGGGGGAGGGAGGGTATGGCCCCTAGGTATAGAAATAATTACCTAATACATAATTTAAGTAGGCGTTAATTAACGATAATAAATTAACAGCCTTACCGTTAGGCACTAATATTATGTTTAAACTTAAAATTTGGAAATTAAGTGGATATTTTCTTTCCTAAAAGTCAAGAAAAATTTTGAAATTTTGTTCTTTTAGAAATATATGGTTTTTATTTTTAGATTTATAATTGTTGGGATACCCTTACTATTATAGCCTATTAAAAGCCACGGCTGAACATAGGCCTCCTCCATAGATTTGCCATAGTTCAAAAAAATCACTTATAGTACGAGGTGACAAACGAGCACACAGTTCACCACGTGGTAAGTGCTGTGGCCCATAGACAATTTTCTCTGTTCCCGATTAAAAATCAAATTGTAGATACTCTGTCAGTCCTGAGGCCTATGACATCAGTAAATAAGGGTCTCCGGTTCTCTTGGACTTAAGAACCACATCAGCATTAAGCTGATATTTCACACTGGTATTATGTGATAGCGCAGTTCTTTTTCGTTCGAGCACACGCATTCATTCGTTGTGCAACCGTAATGTAGCTGCAGTGTGACTCCACAACTTTAAAAACCTATTTCTAAAATTACTTATGGACATATTGAGTCCTTAAAAAAAGTTTGGTGAATACTAAAAATGACTATTGTTACAAAATACAAATATTTTAATAAAGAAATAAGACTACGTGATTTTTATCTGTAATTATGATTTTTTTTTAATTTTTTTATTTATTAACGCATTACAGTTTACAGTTGTGGGGATTCAAGTTTAGAAGTAAGATTATAAAGAGTTACATCTGCTAAAGTTATTAATCATTTAATAAACAGTGGCTTTGCAATCAACCATCCAGCTTTAGATTATAAAATAAATTCTGTACTGATATAAGGTATTATCATAAATTAATTTGGTATTTATCAACATGTTTATTATAATTTATAAAGAATTGTAAATGTGTTCTGTATTGGTGTTATATAGCTCGTATTCTATCTGGCCCATTAGCTCAGTTGGTTAGAGCGTCGTGCTAATAACGCGAAGGTCGCGGGTTCGATCCCCTCATGGGCCAAATACTCTTTTTTCTTTATTTATACTTTTATGAGCTCCTGGGCGTTGAACCCCTCGAGTTTGAAATGTACATTGATATCTAAATGTCTATACCATGTCTTTGTATAATAAATTTTATTTATACCTATGTAAGTAATAAGTAGGTAATAGACAGTGTTAGTAAAGGTGTATTAAATACTAAAATATAAAAGTGCGGAAATTAATAGTATTTAAGATAATTAATAACATTTGGGAGAATTACAAACTTACAAAATAATAAGTAAACAAAATTACAAAATATAAAACGATTTTCATTAATAAAAACCACACTATGCTAGTAGGTTAAGGTGCGGCTGTCAAATCCGCAAAATGCGAACATCTTTATAATGTGAAATGTCCGCAAATTCTTCTTTAATTTAGGAGATATTTCACAGAGGGAAATCCCTCCCCTCATTTTCCCCTTCTCCGCAGAGTTATCTTTTCTAAAGTGCTTCTGTTGTAAGTGTCCACATGAACTCGAGAGTCGAGCGACATTAATACCTTTTTCTCATGGGAAAATGGTTACGCATACCCGCCTCACGCGAACAAGGACGGGTTATGTCGGACTCGCACCGACTAGATTAGAATTAAGATCGATAGACGGTGCCGTTTAGATTTGATAAGAATAGTTTGGGTCTTTAACTGGTTGCAGCATGAATGGTCGATCCATTCATGCTCAACACAAGGATGCAGATGCAAAGGCAAGATCAGCGCCCCCTAGAACTTTGCGCCCTAGGCTCTAGCCTGATTAGCCTGTGGGTAAATCAGGCCCTGCCCACGAGACGAAATGGGGTCGGTGGAACATCTTACGCTAGCACACTACGTAATAGATTCAAGCTAATTAAAGTCAGTCACATACAAATAGTTGTAAAAAATCTTACGCTCATATAAACAGCCTATATTTTTGCAGCCGGAAGTGATTAAAGTGCGCGGTACAACGACGAGACTGCCCACGCTGTGGGTCGTAGGCGGTCCGGGCAGCAACAAGGCCACGTTGTGTCAGCGAGCGGTATTGCAGCGGCAGGGTTGGATGCACTTCAGGTTAGTGAAGGTGCCTTTATTTGTAAACGAATGCTGCAGTCCGCCGTGCGTCAGTTGTCATTGCAGCCCCTGGACCAAAGAAGAAGGCTACACATGTGTTTTCATATCTGTGGTTTAAGATGGAATACTTCACAGCCTGTAACTGTACTGGATCTCCATGCCTTTAGACCGGATACCCTTCAAACTGGCACTCAGCAGTGTTGCACTCCTGCTTGGCGGCAGAAATAAGTTATAGCAAGGTACGTATCCAGATGGAATCCTTTGAATATAATTTATAATTAAAAATTTTGTACAGCCAACTTCAATATAAGTTTTAAGAATAACTCAAAAACGATTGGTCTGACCTTGATCAAATTCATACCACACGAGATTTACCAGCTTTCAAATAAAAAAGAATCATCGAAATCGGTTCACCTAGTAAAAAGTTATGAGGTAACACACATAAAAAAAAGAAAACACATACAGTCGAATTGAGTACCGTCTCTTTTTTGGAAGTCGGCAGAGAATTAAGTCCTGCTAACTATTATTTATCGTGTAGTGGCGGTGTAAGAATATCCATTTCCCCATATCATCTCGTGGGGGTGGTAAGAGGTGACAGAGGGAAACAATATGCAAGAAATTCCCAATGTCATAATAATTAACCAGGGCTACCTTCAGTTTACAATTATTAATATTTCATATTTGGTCCGATCTACGCACTGCGTGGATTAACTATATTGAAGGTAGCCGTGGTTAAGTATGAGATAGGGACGTCGAACACCGCAGCCGTGTTTTATACGTGGTAGAGCCATGCTGCAGCTATATTAATAGTATAGTTGTAGCACGAATGAGTCGGCTCGTCCGGGGAAGGACCACGCTCTCACAGAATACCAGCGTAAAATAGCAGCTTAACACTGCTGTGTTTCGTATGGTGAGTGTAGAGAACCGGAGATCCTTTTCGCTGGAAACGAGGCATTTCATCTTAGTCCTCACGGGTGACAACATATCTGCATTTTGATTCTTTATTGCAGGTAGATGTAGATGCTTATGGGTCACAGCAAATACTTACTATCAGGTGGCCTGTGTGCTTGTTTGTCACCCTTAATTATTAAAAAAAGTTATCCCGTGACCATGGGTGCTATAAAGTGCTCGTAACGTATGGAATATAAAATAAGTTATATATACTCGTACCATAAATAAGTTAATATACGCGATAATAATCCGTAAAATGGGGTTGTAAGAATATTTAACAACCAATATCATCCCGCGGGCGTCGTAAGAGGCGACAGAGGAAAACAAATCTTCAATCAAATCAAACATCAGAGATGACTACATATTTGTGCCATTTGCTGTAGAGACTATCGGTCCGTGGGGTCCACGTGCGGTGAAGTTCCTAAAGGAACTCCATCCGCGGCTGGTCGTTGCTGCTGGTGATAAGAGGGCTGGTTCTTTCCTCGCTCAAAGGCTAAGTATAGCCATTCAGCGGGGAAACGCAGCCAGCGTTCTTGGCACGATACCGCGGGGAGTAGGACTATATGATAATTAAGTTTCTAGTTTTAGTTTTTCTTTTTTATTATCGTAGTTTTTAATATTGTAGATAAAATCAAACAAGTCTTGTTAATAATGACTAAAATAAAAAACTGCGGTTGCCCACCCGTTTGCCAAGTGTGGCAACTATGGCAAGTGCCCCTCCCCCTTTTTAAGACGGTCTATAGGGGAGGTCAGTGTTCAGCAGTGGAATATAAAGGGGTTGTAAGGGTAATGCGACGAAATTCGTAAAAACTAGTTTTATTTAAAAAGAGTTTGGTCTGGTTTATCTGCAGTTTGGGGCAACGTCTCCGCGCTTTGGCCGAGGCTGGCGGCGGGCCGGGGTCGGAGGGTGCGCTGGCGCGCGCGGCGGTGAGCGGCGGCGAGCCGGCGGCCGGCGAGCTGGCGGCGCGCCTCGTGCGCGCCGCCGCCGGCGAGGCCGCGCGCCTGCACTGCGGCCTGCTGCTGGACGGCTTCCCGCGCGACCTCCAACAGATGCACATGTTCCAGGACGAGGTACGCAGCATTGCATACATACTCAACTAATCTTCTTCAAGCCCCCTCTACTGCAGCCTGCTGATCGTTGGATTCCCGCTCGTCGTCGACCAGGACAAGGTGCACATACAATTAGATACATAGTTAGCTAAAAGTCTATAAACCACGTTGATTCACTGCGGCCATGGCTTTCCACGTGACCTCGACAAGCACCTGGTGCAGAACGAGGTGCGCCGAATTTGATACCGCAATTTAGTCCATTAACCTTCTTCAAACCACGTTCCTTCACTGCAGTCACGGCTTTCCGTGTGACCTCGAAATGCACCTGGTCAAGGATGAGGTACACACAGAATCGCATACATACATAGTTAAACTAACCTTCCATAAACCACGCTCCTCTACTGCGTCCTGCTGCTGGACGGTTTCTCACGCGACCTTGACCAGATGCACATGCGCGCACAGAATGAATGCTAATAATCTTACGCTAGTTGGAACGAAGGTGAACTTACTTGTTACATTATGATTTCTTATATTCACGCGAACTCTACTTCCACATTTAAATAAAACTAGTTTTACGGATTTTATAGCGTATATTAACTTATTTTATATTTCCGACATTTCGAGCATTTTACAGCACCACATGGTCACGGAAGGGATTGAGGTGTTTGACGAGCCTGGTCTGCAGTCTGTGAACACGTACAGGACAAAATAATTTTACAATGATAGCTTCAGAATTCTTCAAAAGCTGATATGTGGAAATTATTTTACTTTTTTTAATTCTTTGAAGTCGGCTTTTAGTTTTTATAAAAGTTTTTTTGGTCCTTTGGAGTGGAATAAAGAACAATTCAAAACACAATTTCAGATTGTGTTTGCATTGGTAACATCTATGTGTATGTCATCCATATATATACATACTTAAATTATACTTGAAAAATTATTTCTCTCTCACTGCTACTATTCTCCTAATCTTACTCTTCTTAGGTCTTAATGACTAGTTTACAGTCACTATGCAGTAAAGACCTAACGTTGTAAGAGACAGGTGACTGGACTGGTTTTTCATAAAATAAACCGCTTTTACCTTAGCTGATTGACAATTTATTGCACTAGGCAACGTGTGTTAAGCAAATTCTTATGATAAAATGCTTACATTAGTAATATTATTTAATCCGTGCTTACGTACTGATTTTATATGAATTTTAGCGTCTGGCCCATTAGCTCAGTTGGTTAGAGCGTCGTGCTAATAACGCGAAGGTCGCGGGTTCGATCCCCTCATGGGCCAAGTTTATTTTTTTATATATTTATACAATATTTATGTTAAAAGTTTAGTGATATGCGTTAATTTTTTTAATGTATAACTCTGTATATTCTATTATGTTTATAACTAACCTTTATTACAGGAACCTCTTACTTTTTTAGAAGCCATTTTTTTAAATAGAATAATTGTGACAAAAGATCACACAGTCCACCTGATCGTATGTGGTTACTGTGGCCCATGAACATCTATCCTTGATTGAGAATCAAATTCAGATGCGTTGCCACCCCTGAGGACTAAGATGGAATGCCTCATTTCCAGTAAAATCCTGTCCGGATCTCTAAACCCGCCATGCGAACCACGAATAAAATAGCAGATTGCAGCATTAAGCTGCTATCTGCTATTTTACATTGGTAATCTGTGGGAGCCACACTTCTTTCCCGGTCTAGCCAACCCATTCGTGCTGCAACCATAATATAGCTGCATCGTGGTTCTACCACGTACAAATTCAATGTATGTTTTCAATAAGGGTTCCACGACTTTTCCTGCCACCAGGGCGGTGCCACTTATGAATGGGGTGATATAATATTTGACAGATGTTATGACGGGAAAAGTTAATTTGTAAGAAAAGTGTAGAAATTAATGTTCTTTTCCGAAATATTTGTTATATTTTATATTAATTAGGTTAGAAATGGATAAACCAAACTAAGGATATTCCTAAAAGTAGAAGAATTAAAAAAACGTTAAATATGTGTAAAAAAATGTGTCAGAAAACATTAAAGAATAAAGCACTGAGGCATAGTTTTGTGTATTACATACTTATCTACACTAGAAACCTAGTTTTCAATGATGTAACATATAAATAAAACTAGTTTTACGGACTTTATCGCGTATATTAACTTATTTTATATTCCCGATGTTTCGAGCACTTTACAGCATCCATGGTCACGGGGGGAATTGAGGTGTTTGACGTCCCAATGTCATAGTTAACCACGGCTATCTCCAGATTAAGTTATTAATTTTTATTCCGATCTAAGCAGTCTGAGCTTACAGTATATTGAAGTCATGCAGTTGTATGCTTGGGTTGGGATTTAATGTTATAAATTATAGGATCCCAAGCAGATGGTAGCACCCATCCCTCTTCTCTATTCTATTTATCAAAGTGGATAATTCATTAAAAATACTAATAGTGTAGGTTTTGATAATGTTTCCACTAAGATTATTAAAACAGTAGGTAATATAATAGCTCACATCTTGTTCTACATTATAAATTTATGTTTAGAATAGGGAACATTTCCAGATATATTAAAATTGGCCATTACTATTCCAATATTCAAAAAGTATTAAAAACTATCATACAACTATCACACAAGAAGTTGTTAAAAAACTGTCGTCCTAATTCACTTCATTCAATATTTTCAAAGTTAGTAGAATACATTATATATAAAAAATAAACGATTACTTTGAAACCAATAATCTATTTTCGAAGCATCAATACGGCTTTCGAAAAGATAAATCAATTAGTATGGCTATATACGAGTTTTTGAAAAGAGTCGTAAAAAACGTTAACAACCGAAAGCCTACACTAGCACTATTTACCTATGGATATGACTAAAGCATTTGACAATATTAATCATAAAACATTACTTAATAAACTAGAAAGGTATGGTATAAGAGGCAACGACCTAAAGCTAATCGAATGTTACTTAAGTAATAGAAGACAAATTACACATATAACCAAAATTTACTCTAAGACCGGTGAAAACAAAATATACAGATCGAAAAAGAGTCACGTATACTATGGAGTACAGGGAAGTGTATTGGGCCCTCGTCTTTTTATTATCTATATAAATGACTTTCCTAATGTAATCAACCATCATATGACTATTTTTGCTGACGATAGTACTGTTTTATTTACTTGTGATAATGAGAATAATATAAATAACGGCTGACATTAAATAGCCTGACAATTAATTTGACGAAAACACATATAATAAACTTTAAACAAAGAAATAATTATCCTTTAACTTTTGACATTAACTACTCCGGGAATTCAATTAAAGAGGTAGACACTACAAAATTTTTGGGTTTGACTATAGATAATAAGCCGACATCGAAACCTCATATTGATAATCTAATTAAAAAACTAAACCAATTCTCTTATGCCCTTTATAAACTAAGGAAGGTTGCCATTGTTAAAACACTCCTAACAGCCTATCATATATATGTTGCATCAAATTTAACGTATGGAATAATGATTTGGACCAACACTACCGAAAAACAAAGTGTCCTCAAAGCGCAAAAAAAGTGCGTTAGATCAATGTTCGGTCTAAATTAGGATGATTCATGTGAACCGTAATTTCGCAAATATAAAATTCTAACTCTGTCGTGTATGTATATATATACGTTGCAAACTTTGTTCGAAATAACCCAATTTATTTTGTAATGAATACTGCCGGAAGTCGACGTGAACGCTCATTGAAAGATAACCACAAATTCAAAACCGTTCTTCGAAAAATGTGTGCTGTAAATTGCATGGTACCAAAAATCTATAATTAATAATCTATAAAAAAAGATTTAAAACTGCGCTCAATGGCTTCCTTGCTGAAAAAGTGTGACAAAAGAATATTTTGTGATGACAAAATGTAAAAATTACTTCAATTATGTTCATATACCTCTAAGGTGAAACATGGTTGTACCTAATAATAATATTGTATGTGACATCCTGTAATACCGATACTTATGAATTAATAAATGATTCATTGATTGATCTATTAAAATTAGGATGTTTTTTGATTTCAATAGCGAATCATCCTTGAATATAGTCGGTATTCTTTAGCGAGGATTTGAGGTCTATCAAATCTAATGTAGTGACGGTAGCGATCCTGTACGTGTTCACAGACTGCAGACTTCACTATGACATTGGAGTGGTTAACTATGACATTCGGCCGTCAAACACCTCAATCCCCTCCGTGACCATATGGGTGCTATAAAATGCTCGAAACGTCGGGAATATAAAATAAGTTAATATACGCGATAAAATCCGTAAAACTAGTTTTATTTACTTGTTACATCATTGAAAAGTAGGTTGCCTCAGTGCTGCAGTGTAGTGCTTGTTTGCTATGTTTTTTACACATTTTTAACTTTTTTTTAATTCTTCTACTTTTAGGAATATCCTTAGTTTGGTCTATCCATTTCTAACCTAATTAATATAAAATATAACAAATATTTCGGAAAAGAACATCCGGTGGACTGATGCTCATTTGTCACTCTTATTCTATAAAACCAACATAGTTCACTAACATTCTACAAACCACGCTCCTCAACGGCTTCCCGCGAGACCTCGACCATATACACCAGTTCCAAAACGAGGTTCGTACAGAATTGGATATAAAATATAGTTACCATAACCTACTACATATAGAAGACTGCCGCTGGCAAAATCTCGCAATTGATTGCACCCTGCTGGCCAGCTAACCTCGACCACCTGCAAATGTTCCAGAACGAAGTTCGCACAGAATAGTCTCCGGTGTGTATTTTCATAGTGTTCTTGACCGCGCAGTGTTGCCAACCGAAACTTAAAAGCCTCTGAAAATTACACTTCTAATTTAATCTACAAATGCAGACAAGAATGTCCTTATTTTATAGTTTTGTCTTAAAGTTTTTTTCAGATAAACGTTTTATACAATTATTTTTAATATTTTCTAATTAATCGTAATTTATACAAAATATCACACACCTACTTACTTTCCCCCGTATAGTGCCCAAACCCTATTGGCTTTTTGCTGGATTGCAGCAATACCAGTATGGAACTCTAGACCCAACGTAATGATTTTGGTAAAGTCTGTGTCCAGCTAATTACTAAAAAAGTACAAATATTGGAAGTTTTTAAACGAAATTTATACGTGGTAGAGCCATGCTGCAGCTATATTATGGTTGTAGAACGAATGAACACAGTACACCAGCGTAAAATAGCAGCTCAGTGCTGCTGTTTTTCGTATAGTGAGTGAAGAGAACCGGAGACCCTTTTACTGGAAATGAGACATTCCATTTGAGTCCTCAGGGGTGGCAACGCATCTGCATTTTGATTCTTAATCGAGGATAGATATAGATGTTCATGAGCCACAGTATCCACACACCAACAGGTGGACTGTGTGATCGTTTGTCACACTTATTCATTTAAAAATGGCTTCTAAAAAAGTGAGAGGTTCATGTAATAACGGTTAGTTATAATCATATACAGCGTTATGCATTAAAAAATTAACGCATATCATTAATTTTTTGACATAAATATTTCATTAATATAAAATTAAAATTGGCCCATGAGGGGATCGAACCCGCGACCTTCGCGTTATTAGCACGACGCTCTAACCAACTGAGCTAATGGGCCAGATGCTGGTGCTGATATAATATCAGTATGCAAGCAAAGTTTAAACAATATTGCTAACGTAAGCTTTTTATCATAAGAATATGCTTAATACACATTGCCTAGTGCAATAATTTGTCAATCAGGCATTTATCACGAGTTCTGTAATATCCGCTGTGGGAAACTAGTGATCTAACTAAGAAAACGTTAGGTCTTTACTGCATAGTGACTGTAAGCTAGTCATTAAGATGTGAGAAGAGTAAGAGTAGGAGAATAGTAGCAGTGAGAGTGAAATAATTTTCCAAGTGGTAATTTAAGTATGTCTACGTATATGGGGGTTAATGTAACAATTTAAACGACATCCTATGATAGTCGTTACCAATGCAAGACACAATCTGAAATTGTGTCTTGAATTGTTCTTTTGTCTACTTCAAAGGACCAAAAAACTTTTATAAAAACTAAAAGCCGACTTCAAAGAATAAAATAAAGTAAAAAAAAAGAAGTAATTTCCACATATCAGCTTCTGAAGCGTTTCTGAAGTTATTTTGTCCTCTTTAGTTATTTGAAGTTCTTAAGGCTTTTAATTTTTATTAAAATCTTAATTTTAGCTATTCCATTTCCTTTTACTTGAGATTTTTTTTAATTTCGGAAACCTACAAAACTGCTGCAAAAAAAACTGGCAAAATATAAAAATAATTTATATACGAGTATATATAGATTACTTATACATTTTTATTCTTTACAGTTTCACGTTACGCCTCGGATGGTTTTGTTGGATTGTTCGAAACTGCAGCTGGGACGGGGCCGGCGGGACGACTCTGTGGCGGCTTTCCGACGCCGCCTAGAGGTGTTCCGAGAGCACAGCTTGCCTATGCTCAAGACACTTGACCAACATCACCGATTGGTCATTGTAAGTGTAACGATGATTCTAAACGGACAATTACGTTTTTTTTTATAGTATAGGCTGACAAACGAGCACACAGTCCACATGATGGTACGTGGTTGCTGTGACCCATAGACATCTACATCTATCCTCTATTACAAATCAAAATGCAGATGCGTTGTCACCCGTGAGGACTAAGATGGAATGCCTTTTTTCTAGTAAAAAGGGTCTCCGCTTCTCTACACTCACCATACGAAACACAGCAAAGTTAAGCTGCTATTTTACGCTGGTATTCTGTGAGAGCGTGATCCTTCCCCGGTGGAGCCGACCCATTCGTGCTACAACTATACCACTAATATAGCTGCAGCATATGGCTCTGCGATAGTCCTCTGTTTTAGTCCTGCTAAAACTGGCCCTGCATTATGTTCACGACCTGCTTTACAGAGGATATAATGTAAATAGTTGGCCCGTAAGATGCCCACTGTTGGGCATAGGCTTTTCCCGTTGTTGGGATGATTTGATTTAATCGCCACGCGTGACAGGTGTATTGGCGATCGCATTACAATCGAATAATAAAATTTACAAATATTACAATAGTAAATGTTTTGCAGAAACATAAAGTAACAAAGAATTTATTTCCCTTCCCATACATATACGTATTATAATAACTTTTAGTTTTGAGTGATTTATGTGACGAATAGTTCACTTTAATATTTACAAACATATTTTTTTTAAATAGTAAAAACTAATAAAGCCACTGATGTCTGATGCGTTATCACCTCTACCACCCATCTGCCCATCTGTACGTTGTAATGGTCTGTTTTAACCCCTGTAGAGAAAGAAAAGTATATCTATTAAAGTCAACATTTATGACAATAAAATTGTTAACCTATAACTATCTGAAATTAAAAGAATGTTACATGATATACCCATAGCGGGTCACCTAGGTATATTTCGCATGTACAAAGAATAGAAGAAAAGTATGCAAAATGATATAGAATCTTACGTTAAACGATGTCAGTCCTAGCAAAATAACAAGTTGATACAGATTACTATGGTACGGCCAACTAGCAGCCATAGGAAAAGTCATTTACCTTAAAAACGACTGTGGCGCTGACAATCTATTATCTATCTCTTTCCATCTTGTATATTTGTCGTAATGTCTCGTTTTCCCGGCAAAATCATGTCAGGGTCAAGACGGGTTCGCCAACATTCGGAACGCGCTCGTGGTGATACAAGTTATTTGTATTTATGTAGTACACTAGTACTGCTGCTACTACTAGTACAACAGGTACCTACCTAGACGAACTCATAGACGAAAAAAGTAGTTCTACCATCTAGTAAAAATGTTCTTAATTTTCAGGTTGATGGTGACACCGACTCGACGGAAGTGCAAGCGGAATTCACACGTGTGTTATTGGAAGAAATGGAAAAGGCCGAAGCTATTGCAGAGATGCCAGAGGAGGAAGCACAAACTACCAACATAAACGCACAGCCGCACGCACAGCTTACGCACAATATAGGTCTGTAGAAGTCATAAAATTCACTGACGAAATTTCATCTTTTATTGCCGCAAATACAACACATGAATCTAATTTTAACGTCTAATTTAGGTTATTTGAAATGCCTGACGTTATGTTAGACAGCACTAATGATTATTAGACATTTACATTTTATCTTCAACTAGCTGTTTCCCGCGACTTCGCCCTCGTGTTTTTTGGGGTTTTAATTTTTTTGCGTGGAAAAAAACTAAAACCTAATTCTTTTTGTAAAATAAAAGTAGCCTAAGTTACTCCTTGTGACATCAGCTATCTGCCAGTGAAAGTCCCGTCAAAATTGGTCCACCCGTTTCGGAGATTAGCCGGAACAAACAGACAGACAGACGGACAGACAGACAGACAAAAACTTAAAAAATTGTATTTTTGTTATTAGTACCGTATATCATTTCATATGCATTTAGTAAAAAGCTGTAATTTTGAAATTACAAACAGACACTCCAATTTTATTTATTTGTATAGATTAAGAATCATAACGCAGATGCATTATCACCTGAGGACTAAGATGCAATGTCTCAATTCCAGTAAAAAAGGTCTTCGGTTTACTACACTCACCATAGGAAACACAGCAGCATTAAACTGCTATTTTACGCTGGTATTTTGTGATAGCGGGGTCCATCACGGTCGAGCCGACTCATTGGAGCTGCAACCATATTTTAGCGGCAACATTGCTAATTAAATCTCTATCGAAAGCCTTGAGTTTTCTGGCACTTTCCAAAGTCGCCTCTTACGATACAATACGTCGGTATTGATATATACAATACATGATTTGGTAAAAGGAAAAAATAAGATACGGCCTTGTTTATTTTTCCAGAAGAATCAACGTTGCAGCGCATTGCAGCTTTGCCGCGGCAGCAGAATGGTTCGCTTCCCAACGGCGTCGTGCACAATGGCTTTATCCCCAATAATAAGGTACGTTTAGGTATAAATGCTGTTACTTCTTTTTTAGTACACTTCAAAAAAGGAGTAGGTTTAAAATTGGACTCTATGTTTTTGTATGTATGTTACGCAATATCTTCGTAAATTGTTATACTTTAGCGGTGGCCTCATATAAGTTCCATTCCTAAGGATGGAAAATAGGTGATGAATTTTTTAATGTAACTATTTAGACGCCACTGACATTGTGTATTCCAATGTCAATGATAAGATCGAAATGATTATTTTTTAATAAAATGTAAGTCTAGAGCGTACCGTGGTAGTAATAATTTGTACAAAATTCTAGCCATGTATGTTTATAACTCAAATTCAAAATTTAAAAAGAAACCGAAAAAACAGCCTTGAACAATTGAACCGAATTTGATAAAGCATGTCTAAGGACCACCGCTAGAAAACCTGCTTTTATATTTAAAAAGAAAACCGCACCCAAATCCGTTCACCCGTTTAACAGTTTCGGTGCAGACACACATAGTGGTCAACTTATAACCCCCCTCTTTTAGGTCGGGAGTTAAAAGCAGTTTATATTTTCGTTTCTGAAAAATGCTAAAATCGAATATGTAGTCTATCTGAATATGCACCAATACCAACATAGCTTGGTTACCTGTTAGATTTATTTAATATACGCTGCCAGCAACCGTACTGACTGTTGTGTTCCGGTTTCAAAGGAATTTCATATTAGTCCTCAGTGTAAAAAAGGATTTAAGTTCTGTGTTTTATGTTGTTTGTTATACATGTTGCAGCCACTTTGCATCAGATAAACGATTAGTTACCTCGTTTTGCATGAAAATATTTATTATGAATATTGGTCTTTCCATAGCTCGCTGAGCGACCTTGAGCTTCCTCATACGGCCAGCAGTGAAGGACCACGTCTCAGTTCCGTAAGTCATCACTGGCAACACGCACTGGTTGTACAATTTCGTTTTAAGGTTTTGAGGTATGTCTGACGAGAAGATGTGTCGTAGCTTCCCGAACGCTGCCCAGCCGAGTTGAATCCGTCGATTGACCTCTCGGTCGAAGTTGGACTTACCCAGTCGGACTATTTGTCCCAGGTAAACATACTCGTCAACAACTTCGAGCTTAGTGTTCCCAACAACTATCGGCATAGGTGTGACATGGACATTAAACATGATCTTAGTTTTGTCCATGTTCATCTTAAGACCTATCCGTTGGGAAACACTATTGAGGTCATTGAGCATAGTGCTTAGGTCCTCCAGCGATTCTGCCATAAGGACTATATCGTCGGCAAATCGAAGGTGAGTGATGTACTCGCCATTGATGTTGATACCGTATCCTTTCCAGTCCAGAAGCTTGAAAACGTCTTCCAATGCAGCGGTGAAGAGTTTCGGGGATATGACGTCACCCTGTCTTACACCTCTCTGCAATTGGATAGGTTTCGTACTCTGGTTCTGTACTCGGATAGCCATCGTAGCCCTACTGTACAAGCACTTCAACACTTCGATATACCGACAGTCAACTTGGCACCGCTGAAGGGACTGCAGCACCGCCCAAATTTCGACGGAATCAAAGGCTTTCTCATAGTCCACATACGCCAGACATAGTGGCAAATTGTACTCTTCGGACTTCTGTACAACTTGCCGAAGGGTATGTATGTGGTCTATGGTGCTAAAGCCCTTTCGGAAACCGGCTTGTTCGGGAGGCTGGAAGTCGTCAAGTCTGCGCGCGAGACGATTCGTAATGACTCTCGAAAACAGCACGTAGACGCGGCTCAGAAGGGAAATCGGTCTGTAGTTCTTCAAGAGAGCGTTGTCACCTTTCTTGAAGAACAAGACCACCGCACTTCTGCTCCACGCCTCCGGTGTAATGCCACCATGGAGGACGGAATTAAAGAGCTTCTGAAGGACTTCAAGTACCGGTCTTCCACCCGCTTTCAGAAGCTCCGCTGTAATTCCATCCTCGCCTGGGGCCTTACCGTTTTTAAGGTGCTGGAGAGCCATCCTAATCTCGCTCAGACTGACATCCGGGATATCTTCGGAATAGTGTCGGATGAGACTCGCTCTTGGATCGTTACTCACACTTGCGTGTGGCTCCAACGATGATGTGTACAGCTGCCCATAGAACCTCTCAATCTCACTCAAAATCTCAGGTGTCCCGGAAACGATGCTGCCACATTCTGTCTTCAGCTTTGACAGTTGGCTCTTTCTGGCAGACAGATCTCTGGCAAAGACTTTGGAGCCTTGGTTCCGCTCGATCGCTTCTTCAATACGAGCTGTATTGAATTTGCGTAAGTCCCGCCGCATGCATTTGGAGATCTGTCTGTTCAGATGCCTGTATGCTGTCAAGTCTGTTGAAGAATGTAGCTTCATCTCCCGTCTAACAGCCATGAGATTAAGAGTGTGATCGGAGAGTTTTTGTGTTCTTCTGCGGCGGGTCTTGCAGAACTTAGCTCCAACCGCATGGACAGTTTCCACGAGCTTGTCATTCATATCGTCCACTTCATTGCAGTCTTCTAGGCACTGAAAACGGTTTTGTAACTCGAGCTGAAAGGTTTCGGGACTTTGAAACAGAGCACGAGGGGGACGGAGCGTTGACTTCATTAGACGAGACCTCTCCAACTTAACGTTTAGGTTCAGTGTGCCTTTAACCATTCGGTGATCGCTACCAGTTTTCACCCTCGCGATCACGGAGACATCACTGAACAGTTGTCGTCTGGTCGTCATAATGAAGTCAATCTCATTTTTTGTGGAACCGTCGGGGCTCGACCAGGTCCACTTCCTGTGGGGCCGCTTCTGGAAGAAAGAGTTCATCATAAAGAGTCCCTCTTTCTCCATGAAGTCGGCCAGCTGCTGGCCCCTTGGGTTCCGTTGCCCTATTCCAAATTTCCCTACATTCAGCTCACCGTTCTCTCTTGTGCCTAGTTTTGCATTGAAGTCTCCCATTAACACCGTATATTGGGTTTTGGAGGAATGCATGGCTCTAGAGATATCCTCATACATTTCCTCCACCTCCTCATCGGGGTGTGCCGAGGTTGGTGCGTAAACCTGTATGACCTTCAGCGAATACCGTTTGGTGATTCTGAGTATAAGGTACGCAACCCTCGTCGACACACTCCCGATTTTTACAACGTTGTTAACGAGAGACTTGTGGACGATAAATCCGACACCTCCTTGGGACAGATGGTCGCCCTCCCGGTGATAGAGCAAGTTGCCGGATTCGAGGATTACCGTGTCCTCCCCCTCTCTTCGGACTTCAGATAATCCTATAATATGCCAGCGCAACTTGTCTATCTCTTCTTCCAACTCCACGATCTTCTCGTCAGTCCTCAGGGTGCGTGCGTTGTACGTTGCCAGGTCGAGTCGTCTAAGGTGGCAACCGAACCTCCACCGGAGATTCTTAGCACCCCCTGCCCCGCCGTTACCATGGTCGCCACCGTAGCCAGGAATAGCGGGGCCGCCGGGGACTGGGGGCCGTTTTTTTGTTGCTCTCATCATTGGGGGGTATTTGTCATAGTTGCCACGCTTGGCGAGCGGGTTGGCAACCGCAGTTTTTTTATTGTCATTTGGCTATTATCAGGAAGATGCTGCTGCCCATCTCCTGGCTGTTTCCCTTTGTCGCCTTTTACGACACCCACGGGAGGATATGGGGTAGTGGATATTCTTGACCGCCACTACACGGCATATAGGGCTATGCTCGGAGTTTCTCTGCGTGATAAACTTAGGAATGAGGATATCCGCAGTAGAACCAGAGTGACCGACATAGCCCAACGGATTAGTAAGCTGAAGTGGCAGTGGGCCGGCCATATAGCTCGAAGAACCGACAACCGATGGGGAAGAAAGGTTCTCGAGTGGCAGCCTCGTACCGGTAGGCGAAGTGTAGGGCGTCCCCCCACGAGATGGAGTGACGACCTGGTAAGACATGCAGGAAGTCGATGGATGCAGGTGGCTCAGGACCGTGTTTTGTGGCATTCTTTGGGGGAGGCCTATGTTCAGCAGTGGACTTGTGAAGGGCTGTAATGATGATGATGATGATGATTGGTCTTTCAGAGTGAAAACTGACAACACGCTCTTAGCCTTCTATGCTTAGCTATCTACAGGTGTTTATGTCTTTAACTGGCCACTTATTAAGCTTTTTTTATAGATTAAGGGTGAAAAACGAGCACATCGTTCACCTGATAGTCAGTGGATGCTGTGGCCCATGACATCTACATTTATACTCAGTTAAGAAATAAAATGCTTTTCGTTGTCACGCCTGAGGACTACAATGAAATGCCTCATTTCCAGTAAAAGGGTCTCCGGTTCTCTACACTCACCATATGAAACCCAGCAGCATTAAGCTGCTATTTTACGCTAGTATTCTGTGAGAACGTGGTCCAACCCTGGTCGAGGTGACTCATACGTGCTACAACCATAATATAGCTGCAGCGTGGCTCCACCACGTAAAAAAGGTTTAGTATTAAATTGAGCTTAATATTTAATCTATTAAAATCAACCAACATTTATCGTTACAGGTTAAACCAATTGCCAACGTTACGAAAATATCAACTATCTCGCAAATGACCCACGATGATGTGAAGCGACTGTACCAGCAGAGCACCGGCGAAGTGTCGCTTAATACACATCATATTTAAAAACACTATTTTATACTTAGGAAGAATACGTTATATTATAATAATTAGGCCTTGTTATTAATTAATTACCTTAGAATAATTATTTAAATTGTGAACTTTAATATTTATCATGTAACGATCCCTGCTGGTCAGGGTTGAAAAAAAAAAATTAGACATGTATATCAAACTGTTCCTATATACTTAAAAAAAATCTATCAAAAGCATACTTTTTAATTTTGTCACCAGTGTGTTATAATTATAATACAAGGCTAATTGCATAACTGCGTCCAATTTACTGACTGACAGATATTTTTCCTCTATGACAACAACACTGGAGTTTTGGCGGGAACTTGACCGCCGACGGATTGCTGTTCCTTTATTATAGTTTAAATGATGATTCGAAAAGGATTTTGATACGTAAAAGTAATGTGAATTTGTGTACTAATTGTCTGTGAACTATTAGTGGAAATGATGAAACGAGTGCTACGATGGTAATGTGAACCTCAAGTTGTTGTGTTGCTTAGGCGCCTTAAGATACTACTGTCATATACGTTTTTTTGTACCGTCTGGTGGCACAAGTTGCCGTCAAAATCTCCCAATTACTTCTTTATCGAACGCATCAACATAATAGTGTTAAGAAGTTTTTAAAGAAATTGTTATAAAGGATAATTTCATAATACTTGACACTGGCAAAAGTACAACCCTACGAGTGCATTACCAAAGAAAGATGACGCCAACGCTCTTAACTTTTACAATTTTTTATTGATTGAATTGAATAATAGAAACAAAGGGAAATAATAACTTTGTTTATAATATTAACAATATTTGATATTTTGCAATAAACACGAATAAAACACAGTTAATGTAGCGTACTTAATTTGTATTTTATTCGGGAAAAAGCAAAATAGAGTTATTAGGGTTGTAATTATAGCATATTTTATCCATTTTTAAACAAATACAACAAACACATGCAAATACACAAACACAATGTGTACAAAAAACAACGATAAATTATACGAAATGTAAATCTATTCTCAGCAGAAATTCTTAATTAAATTTAATATTAATAAATTGGCACAAATCCAAATTGAGAAATGATAAAAAACTAAAACGTAATTTTAAAAACATAATGTTTAAGATTTCGCACGGGTTTTGCAACTTAAACCTAATTGATATCCTACCTTAACGTTTAATTTAGGTTTAAGTGATAATAGGTTATTTTTTTGTTCATAATATGCGGAGGCAAAAATGAGCACATGGTAGTACTGGTCATGTACTCATATTAATGTTTATTTTCAAATTGTGTACCTGAAAGTCAAATTGTTGAACAATGATGAATAAAATGAGAAATGTGCCTAAATCAATAGCTATAATTAAGATATGTACACATACAATTTAGAGTTTATAAATAATGTTGATGTTGATTGAAAGAAATAAGGTAGAACGTTAGATAATGATAAAATAAATGTAGAATATATTTTGGATAAAATAAAAAAAATATAGAAAAACGATATACAAACGCGTAAAAAATTTTTGTTAGCAATGCAGTTTTCCAGGCATTATTTATTTACTTCCCATTTAAATTTGTAATAGCTTTGATTATCTCAGTGAGCAATCACAACCAACTCCATTTATACCTCGCTGAGCACTGGCCTCAATTTTTATAGAACGTGAAGAACACGAATTCGATCCATGCCGACATCACTCAGTTCGATGAAGCTGCAGCCGCATAGGCTAACAGCATTAACATCACAGAAACTAGACTGACACCACTGAAATTATTAATCCCAACGTTAAGTACCAATTTACCGAGTTTACCGCGTCCTCGGTGGGGAAAGAAAACATCGTAAGTATATCTATGTTTGAGAATTTAAAATACGAGTATGTCGAAGAAATCTAAAATCCGCGACAGACATCGGGGTAACGCAACAGGGAGGAAACAGTCCTCCTCCAAAACGTTCATAAAGAGTGAGAGGAGGCCAGTGGGTAGCCGAAAATAAGAGCATTTGTATTTCTTATGTATGGAGTGTCAATATTTTATTATTAATTATTATTATATTTTAATATTAATTAATTATCATTACTTACTAGTTTTAAGAAATAACTACTTGTATTTTAGTAGATAATTATATTAAAAAAGAATAGAATTTAACAGTTTATGATAAAGACGCACATAAAAAAGTTAAGTGCCTTAGCACAAGAAATATTTTGATAAGATTAGGATAAACATTTTTTTATATAAAGTTTATGCCAGATTTTCACCGTAGTTGACAATACAATACTAAAAGATTGTGGACCCTTGGTAAAACCAGTCAACCGATCGACTGTATAGGTAAGTATTGCAAATAGATAGTAGTGAAAAATTAAAAAAATATGTAATTCAGTTTGATGTGAACGTCTATATAAATTAAATTTTATAAATTTGTGGTATCGTCAAATAAGTCAAACACAACACTTCTGAATTTTCTCATAATCGATTTACGGTGCCTATTTACCTGTTGTAAATTGTACATGAAATATTACAATGACGTATTCATGCAGTGTATTAATACAGTAACTGTGTAGAGGCGGTGTAAGCATATACTACCCCATATCGTACCATTGGCACATGAGTAAATAAACTGAACAGAGACAAAACTTCTTGAGAACGTGCAAAATTGTTACCTATTTTGGTAGGGTTGTCACAATAGGTGAAGACAAATTAAACAAAACAATATCTATCATATTATTGCATTGTCACTGCGGTATACAAAATTTCAACTCAATCAGACATCGGAAAGTGGTTCAAATCTTACTTGCAATATGTGAACTAACACACATACCTACTACATACCAACCCACCAACATACCTACAAATGTTAAGTAAAAGCTTGTAATAACAATAAAAAGGTAAAAACACACCGTGTAGTACTCTCTTCTTATTATAAAAACAGGATCATACAATAAAATTACGGTACTTACTACTCCTTGGGATCGTTAAAATATGGTATTATTTTATTCATACACATAGTTCAATAAACAACCATTATTAATAATACCACGTTTTTACTTTAAAATATTCAAAATTGCAACTAACAAACCAAACAATGTGCGTCGCACTGACCCTGAGATTGTTGTCCACTGACTGTGCCAGCGTAACCGGTTTTTACCAGTCTCGCCGCGTAAGCGACAAGCGACCAGTGGTCACGCACACATGCCCTGCGTGCTTGTAGTAGTGCAACCGTTTCGCGCGGTTGTATGAAGCTTTACCTCTGTTCCGTTTATTTACTCATGTGGCGTTGGTGTCGTAAGAGTAAACGACGAGATAAACGAACCAGGAGAGGGCAGCAGCATCTTTCTGATAACAACTCAAAAAATAAAACTGAGCTTGCTAACTCGCCTGCTAACCGTTGCGACTAAGGCATATTATCTCCCCTATGAGGTAATCTATGGGGAGGTCTGTTCAGCAGAGAAATTTTGATAAAATATAAAAAATGTTAGAAAAAAAATTTATACAGTGATAAGTACTCGTACTCACTCGTCCCTACTCATTGCAATAAGATAAAAAAATATAACGAAATAATTAGTGAAATATATCGTAATCATATCATAAACATTCACGTTGTAACCCAGAAGGGTAGGCAGAGACTACGGATTTCCATTTGGTACGATCCTGACACACCTCTTTCGCCTCCTTTACATCCATATACCTACGCGCACATGTTCGTTGGTTAAGGGTACTCTTGATCTGGCCCATCTTCAATATATCGCTAATTTGGTCAATAAGCTTTCATCTAGCCCTTTCCGACTCTGTCGTTCACTTCTGCATAATAAATTTGTGCATATAATATAATATCATTGTTGTGTTTGCAATAATCCACGTTCGTTAGCGAGACAACAACTGATTTTATTATACGGCATAAATACCTACGTTTACAATAACACAAATACCCACAACAATCATAATTAGAGAAATATCATAAACGCTGCAGTCATAGATTAATGATAAGTCAGAGAGCGCGATGACTTGTCATTAATCTATGGCTGCAGATATACCGTGGTAGAAATTCTTTTCTGCCTAGACGTCGGCCTGGGTAGGTTCCACCCTCTTTCTTACCCAACCAGTTACTATTTCTGCCACTAAATAGCAGTGCGTGCACCGCTGTGTTTAGTTCTGAAGCATATAGAGAGCTAGTATAATTACACGCTGAGAGACATTCCATTTTATTCCTCGGAGATGACGACGCATCTGTAGCCATTTTATGTGAAACTGATCGCAGGTGTCTATGGGCTGCAGTAACTACCAACATGTGTGCTGTTAGTTCGTTTGCCACATTAATTTTACAATTGAAAGTTTATGATTTAAATTAGCGAATATTGCCCCTGGTATTGGAAAAAAAGACGGTTTTAAAAATGCCAGATGGATTAGACTCAGTAAGCATACATACATAAATCCCTACCCTATATTATAATATGGCGTTGTTACGCATTGTGTACGTGAACATTACCATTGTATGTGTAAGTAAAACACGCACGCACACAAGTATGCCCCTCCGCTTAGAACAAATACAATGTCTATTGCAATGTGGGCGGGCCTATTCTGGACGTTGTACTATTCCATATTCCGTGGCATAATGGCGCATCTCCACCATAGTTTTGTTGTCAACACAACATTTGCCAACACGTTTTGTTAACAAATGTTTCTGTCAACAAGCGTCTCCACCGAGGAAACAAATATCGGCAACAAGCGTATTCCTTTGATGTTGCACGCCGAAAATTGAAACATGTTTTGTTGTGTTGACAACAAAACTTTGGTGGAGACGCGGCTTTAGGTTTTATCTTACAGGAGTAGGTGACGAGTGATTTATAGGTGTAGGTGTTTGTGATTGCGCATACAATTGTGCACTATAGTTACTCACTGGCACTGTGGCAGTCGTGGACGATCGGTTAGGAGCACATATTTCTTGTACAAAATCATTTTATTTATCTCAAAAACAATCTTTACTAACGACAAACATTTAAATATGTAAAAACATAGAAAA